ATTGTCTCTATTTTGCTGTTCTCCTTTCTACCCTTCCTTAGAATTGTGAACTCTATAATTTCATGATCACTTTCACCCAAGCTGCCTTCCACTTTCAAATTCTCAACCAGTTCCTCCCTATTTGTTAGGATCAAACCTAGAACAGCTTCCCCCCGGTAGCTTTTTCAACCTTCTGAAATAAAAAGTTGTCTCCAATGCAGTCCAAGAACTTATGGGATAGAGTGTGCCCCGCAATGTTATTTTTCCAATATATATCTGGATAGTTGAAGTCCCCCATCACCACCAAATCATAGGACACTCGCATAGTTACTCCGAAATAATGTTGCTGTGTAAAAGTGGTTGAATTAAAAAAATTTATTGGTCCAATTTCTGGTGGTGAGAGAGACAAGGTTTGGAGCTTTCACAGAGCTCTTCTTCAGAGCTGGTAGCTTCCTCAGTGTCATTTCTCAGGTCTGAGGAAGAGCTCTGGGTAAGGGTGAAAACTTATCGGGCTCACCGACCAAAGTTGGTGTGCTGAAAGACATTACCTCACCCACCTCATTCCTCTCACATCTTGGGACCAACATGGCTACAACCATACCAGATACTATCCTTTATTGAGACATCAATTAAAGAAACAAATCCATGGAAGAATTAGTTACAAAGTCACCACCCCACCAATAACATGACAGAGAATACCCCATATCTGCACAAGCTAAAAGGAAAAGGGTGTTGCAAGCAAATTTACTTGCATTGAGATTATCCAAACAGTACTTAATGCGGATGGGTGTCTCTCCTTCTCTTCTCAGATACCAAAACACGTCTCCTGCTTCCATTTTTAATTTGGATAAACAGCGGATCTTTGCGGTATCATTAACTTCAGCAAACTGGTCCCGCTGAGGTTGGTAGACCTGGGTGCCTTGAACGGTCACAGAGAACCTGCAAAGATTTATTTTTAGTTAGGAAACCTGAGCCCATTATATTCCTTCTCTGCCCACAGCACTTAATGTTCCCCTGATCTTTTTGGCGTAAAGTAGACTTTGCTTCTAAATGTGCCTTGGTACCTCTGTTAGCTTGTCCCATTTCAATGGCAACACTGAAATATTCTGTGTCAGTCTGTTATGAATCTCCTTAAATCAACTATAGTTCCTTACCTCCAACAATCAGTGTGGATCCATTCCCGAAAGTCAGGTAGCTGCTGTGGATATATGCACAATAGTAAACACCAGACTCATTCTGCTGGATGTTGCTGATTTCCAGTGTTGCGCTGTGTGTCTCATGTTTGCAAGCAAATTTACTTGCATCGAGATTATCCAGACAGTACTTAATGAGGGTGGGTGTCTCTCCTTCTCTTCTCAGATACCAAAACACGTCTCCTGCTTCCATTTTTAATTTGGATAAACAGCGGATCTTTGCGGTATCATTAACTTCAGCAAACTGGTCCCGCTGAGGTTGGTAGAGAAATAACTGCACTCCTAGCACTGGAGAAATGAAATAACATTATGGTTAGTTTCCTCAGGTCTCCAAGAGATGAGCTGAGTAGCTCAGCAACAGAATCCACTACGTCTGGTAACATGAATACTCTGCAGCCTCAATGCTAGAAAAACTCGCGATCATTTTGGACAGCTAAATGGAATTGCAATTAAAATGCAGCAAACGTTTCCAAACACATCCTAGATATGCAACCTGGGGGTCCTCTTTGAAGGGGATGTTCTCCCAGTTCCAAAGCTTAATGCAGACATTTTACCTAAGCAAGAGAAAACCAGGCACTCAGCAAAGATCATGCTGTAAAAAAAGAAGGGAAAATAAAATCCTGACACCCTAGCGCAAAGGCAGATGCTCAGTGCAGTGCTGGGGTGAAGCAGCGTCTTGTATCCAGTGAGGAACACCTCTGAGGAGGATGTGCTGTAGTGATAGACACTAGGTGGGTGGGTTAAAGAAACTACAGAGGGTGCAGCTTTTCTGGTAGAATTACTCTGCATTCCTGTGCCCAGGGGCTACGGTGATGCTTTAGGGTGATTTTAAACATCCAGAGCATGGTAGCGTGTCGCCCATGGATGAGCTGTGTGAACAAATTCGCCTGGCAGGTCCTGCTGACTCCCAAAGGAAAATGCTCTGAAGTGACTTAGTTCTTTTGACAGTTCCCATCTAAATCTCTCCCCAGCCTAACATCTTTGGTCCATCATTTTTTGGGGGTGCCAGGCTGATCCGTATCAATTACTGGCAGACTTGCCTTGGAGGACTCACAGTGTGTTCTGAAGCAAAGCCCTGACGTTTTTGAGATACCCGACAACAAACTATTCAATTTTCAAAAGTGCCCAAGTCCCATTTGCAAGTGTGATGTCGGAGCAGGTGTCTCTGGGTGCCTTGAGAGATTTTCAAACATGACTAGGCGGGCTAGTGACCCACTGCTGGCGAAGTCAAGGGAAGTTAAGAGCATCATCCTGGGTCTAGCAGAGAACTGGCTAAAAATGCACCAAGCGGGGCTGGTTAGGAAGCTGCATCTGGTCTCCACGAGTATGGAGAGAGCACTAACGTGCATCCCTGAATGCCCCTTGTGAAACAGCTGAGAACAGAGGGCAGCGTGGCCTAGTGAGCAGAGCAACTGGCTCAGAAAGGACCAGATAGGACTGGCACCTTGGTCACGTCTTCTTAGACGGCATCTCCCGGCTGAGGCTGCACTGGTGGCCATGGGTCCTCTGGCAAAGTGGGGAGCTGTCAATCCCAAAGCCCTTCCTGACAGCTCTCGCCCGTGGGGACCATCTCTCTACCCCTCCCTTGCCTCCTGGCATTCTCCCCTTGCTGGGGACTCACCTGGTCTACGTCCTGGGGGGCGGCAGAAGGGCGGCTGGACTGGCTGCAACGCTGCCCCGGGGCATTTCTCACATCCCCCAGCACCCTCCTGGCTCCAGTGTAATGGGGGGGTGCAGAGCAGCATAAATGACACTGCTCCCCGCTCCCAGTCCCCTGGCATTGCGAGGGTGGAAAGGGGCTTCGTGCACACGAGGGTCAGGCCCCAGGCTGGCTGTGCGGGGGCTGCGTGATGCCAGTGCTCGTACAGACCGGGCCATACAAGCCACAGCGCTAGTCACGCCCAGGGTCTCCCCAGCACGGCCCGTGTAAGGCCCGTTAGAACCCTGACAGCGGCACGAAGCCCCATTCACTGCACCGGGGTCCCAGTGACGCCGCTTTACCCTGCACAGGGCTTTAAGGAACCGAAGGCGGCAGCTGGTCGCCCAGCGCTGCCCTGGGCTTTGCTGAGTGGTGAGTGCTCAGCACATCACAGCAGGAGCCTCGGCACCAAGCAGGATTGGGCCCTCACGCTGTATATAGAAATCCCTTCATTCCCCATGGGGGTGGGGCGGGGAAGCTGTTTCACAGCCCCACAGCGCCCTGGTTTGGGGCAGGCAGCGACAAGGAGCAACGGAGCCGGCTGCAGCTGCAGGGGCATCTTGGTGCTCGTGAAATTACCAGGCTGGGGAAGGACATGGATTTCCCGCCGCGCACGAGAACGAAAAGTGACCATCTCAACCATGGTCTGGAATCAAAAGCCATTTTGGGGTGGGCTGCCTGGGCTTCTGATCCTGCCCCGTCAGCTCACCCAGGCATCCTTTCCTGGCCAGAGGTCGTTGTGAAGTCCAAGACTACAGGAGTATGTATACACTCCTCATTGCAGGAGGAGTAATGGTAGTTTGGATTAGGAGCTTTAATTCGAACTACCTAGCCTGTGCTGCGTGTAGCTGCAGGCAGGTATAGTTCGAACTACGAGGCATTTAAAAATGGCGGCGCCTGGGAACATGCAAATAAAGCCCAGGATATTTTAATCCCGGGCTTCATTTGCAAGTTCGAATGACTACATTAGCCACCCTAGTTCGAACTAGGGTGGCAGGGTCGACATACCCTAGGAGGGTACCAAAAAGAGCTCGATACATTCATGGACGGTAGATCCATCAATGGCTAATGGCCAGAGTGTCCCTAGCCTCTGTTCGTTAGAGGCTGGGAATAGGTGACAGGGGATGGATCACTGGATGATTCCCTGTTCTGTTCACTCCCCCGGGGCTTGGCATTGGCCACGGTCGGAAGACAGGACACTGGGTTGGATGGATCTTGGGTCTGGTTCTATGGCTGTTCAGATGTTCTTATGCCATCACTTTGAACTGGAGAGCAGGAATTTTCCCCTTTGCAAGTTCTGAAATTTTCCCAGCGCTCAAAGATTCATCACAACAGACACAAACACCAACAACAGGGCATTTTCGGACAGAGCAATGCTTCTTCTAAAGACGGCTGAGCAGTTCCAGTCGTTACCCAACCGGCACGGGGGCGAAGGAACCGGAGCCAGCACCTCTCGTCTTGCTGGACGTATCCACAGCGACTGCAAGCCACCTTTCTTTCCGGACCGCAGGTGGAAGGGTCAGCAGAAATCTGGGCCTTCCTGCACCCCTGCTGCAGTCAGCCCTCAGGGAACAGGAAATCAGAGTCAGGAGATCAAAGTCATTCATTTTTTATTGGCATCTACAGAACCACAGAAGGGTCTGGTTGGAAGAGACCTTGCAAAGCCGTCAAGTCCAGGCACTGAGGCAGGACCATAGTTCCCACGAAGGTGCATGCCTGCACAGCAGCGCACCAAAAAATTCTTCCCATGCCCACCTTCTCTGGAGAGCTGCGCAGCAGCACTCGCATGGCAGGCAGCTGCCCCGGCAGGCGGGGCTGGCTGAGACAGGGTAGTGAGGGAGCCACTGGGGTGGGGGTCCAGGGGGGGAAGGGGCACTCCAGTCGCTGGGGCTGCCTCAGGTCAGGGGGGACAGGGTCTGCTCCAGTAGCTGGGAACAGGACCTATCGCGTGCTGGGAACGCGACCTGCTGCATGGCAGGGGAGGGGTGGTTCTACTCCAAAAGCCGGGAACGGGTGTTAAAAATGTGGGTGCCGTGATGACACGCGTCCAAACCAGCGCCCATGACCTCAATACTGGCGCACAAGCCAAAACTCACTCTGCTCATGGTTGGAAAATCTTAGCAAGAGCCCTGGGCAGGACCCAGTAAACCTGGACCATCCTTGACAAGGTCTTGGGTGTGCACCACAATATTTCCTTTATTTTCCACAGCTGAAAGGTAAACTACAGATTTTGGGGTTATTTCGTGGACTGTTCTGCTTCATCTTTGCTCTCCCCATCCACTGAGGAATCGGGGGGAGCAAACGGCACTTCCTTGGTTACCAAAAACAGAGAGAGCAACCTGAAAAAGCAGCCAGCTCCAGAGCTCTGCTAGCTGAACAAACAAATGACAAGTGGCAAAATACGTGGGCTGAAAGTGACCGCAGCAGCAAGTGTAGCTCCCCAAGCAGCCAGTTCTGATCTATTTTTAAACGATTAGGCCTTTGCAGCAACTGTGGCTGTTTGTCCTGGAGCAGGGGGGAGGGTTTTTTAAAGATAGGTTTCAATTTTTTCTGATAAAACCTATTCTAGAAACGAAATCAGTCACTTTGTCTTGACTTCGCATACATTTGTACAGGAGACAATCAAGGGTAAAATGAATTTGTGTCAGTTAAGATTGACTGGGGGCAATAACCTTAAGGCACATTTGAAAATTTGTCAAGTGTTTTTGATGCCTAACTTCCATCGAATTTGTAAACCACCCTAGGCGCTGATCTTTAAGTACCAACATATCTTGAAATCTGGTTCACCTGAGTCCAGATATCAGTGAAAGTCAGTGGGAGAAAGGCCATGTCTAGACTATGGAGAAGATCAACGCTGTGGAAATCGATCTTCTGGCGTTTGATTTAGCAGGTCCACTAAAGACCCGCTAAATCAAATGTTGAAAGTGCCCCTGTTCATGCTAGAACTCCTACTCCTCATGAAGCATAAGGGAAGCCAACAGAAGCATTTCTTCCATCAACCTCCCGCTGTGAGGATGGCACTGAAGATCGGCTTAAAGTACATTGATGGCAGTTACTTTTTTTTTATGTAGCTGGAATTGTGTACCTTGAGCTGAGCTTCATCTGTAGTGCAGACCTGGCCTTAACTTACAACAAGTAGTTAAATTGCTTTTGAAAATGTTACCTCACTCCTTAGGTTCTTGTGCCTCACTGAGGCTAGGTTTCTGCTGTACCTAGACATACAATTTTATCTTGTTCAGAGGGGACTAGATACCATTGTGTAAAAAAAAAAAAAAAAAAATCAACAGGACTTAAAATGCAAATTATCTAAACCGTTTTTTAAAATTATGACTTAGATTCTTACGTAATTTACGTCTTTGTGCCCTAGGGTGGCTAGATTAAGACTACAATTTTACAATGTTTCCGTTAGTATGACAATTTTATCATGGCAATTTTAAAATATCAGGCAGAGTCCAGGAAAACAACCGTAAGGACAGAAGGAGAGCCGGGAGCATGTGTGAAAATTAGAGAGAAAAACCACCTGCTGGGCCAGACTCCAGGAAAACAACCGTAAGGACAGAAGGAGAGCCGGGGGCATGTGTGAAAGTTA